AAGGATGAAAAAATTATCGGCAGAATGGGGTTGGAACAGCTACTCCCATCTGCCCCTGTTCGAGCCATAGAGGTTTACTCCTTTCTTTATTTCCATTGTCATAATTGTCTTACAAACTTTCTTACATTGTTATTATCTCATGATGCAGGGCTTGTATCATACTATGGCCCTCTGTGCTACTACTGAGGCTCAGTCTCTTTCCTTTAAGAAGCTGGAGAAAGACCTTAGTAATTCTGAGAAGAAGGCATCCCATACCATTGCCAATGCACAAATTGCATACGAGGCTCGGGATGTTTACAAGAAGCGTCTGGCTGCTTCTGATGCCAAAGTTGAGTCGCTGGAGGCTGAAGTCCAATGCTTAAATGACGCCCTTAGCACCTGCATCGTTGGCGGGAGGCAAATGCAAGGTCGTTACTCCAATCTGGTGCGTTTGTCAAGTGCAAAAGCTTACCAGTCCGGCTTCAATCAAGGCTCAGGCCCCAAATCGATGGATCTTGATGCCTTTGATGTGAACATGGGGGTGTTCTTCCCTTATACAGAGGGTCCGAAGGCTCAGGAGGCTGAGGTGCTTTTTGCTGAAATGGTGAAGGCTCACCCGGAAGATCCTCCGAGCTCATCAACTCCTGTAACTCTTGATCCTTCAATTCCTCCACCTGCAAGTCTAACTGTAGTAGATGCTTTTGAATCTGCCCCGTTTGATCCAAAGAGGAAGTAGGATCAAGCATATATATATATATATATATATATATTTCCTTGTAATGAAACAATTTTGAGAATGAATGATATACCATTTTCTTTTATTCTGCTTCGATTGAGTATGCTTGTATGCTTCTGATATTGCACTTTGTTGAGAGATTTTTTTTTTTTTTTTAGAAGGAAGGTACTCTGCTTGAAGGTTCCTTATTTGTTTTAGTCCGAAGAAAAATAAATAAGAGGTTTTCCAAGCCGGACACTCAGTGTCCAAGGCGAGTTTTTGCCAAGCCGAACACTTAGGGTCCGAGGCGAGATTTTTGCCGAGCCGGACACTTAGGGTCCGAGGCGAATGAATTACTCCCTGGCGCTGAGCCGGAAGGAGGTTTTGCCGAGCCGGACGCTTAGGGTCCGAGGCGAGATTTTTGCCGAGCCGGACGCTCAGGGTCCGAGGTGAGATTTTTGCCGAGCCGGACACTCAGGGTCCGAGGCGAGATTTTTGACGAGCCGGACACTTAGGGTTCAAGGCGAATGAATTACTCCCTGACGCTGAGCCGAAAGGAGGTTTTGACGAGCCGGACACTTAGGGTCCGAGGCGAGATTTTTGCCGAGCCGGACGCTCAGGGTCCGAGGCGAGATTTTTGCCGAGCCAGACGCTCAGGGTCCGAGGCGGGATTTTTGCTGAGCCGGACACTTAGGGTCCGAGGCGAATGAATTACTCCCCGGCGCTGAGCCGGACGGAGGTTTTGCCGAGCCGGACGCTTAGGGTCCGAGGTGAGATTTTTGCCGAGCCAGACACTTAGGTCCAAGGCGAGATGCGCTGAGCCGGAAGGAGGTTTACATACATATATTCTTTTACTCATTGTTTTTTTTTTTTTTTAAAAAAAAACAACTTGCCGAGGACTAAAAAATGATAGGAGGCCAAGAAAGCGAGTAACAATGGCTGCGAAGTTTCCTATTTGTTTACTTTGGAGACTTTCCTCTATTGATACTCCCTCTTGGCAACTATATGTCATGGACTATGCATATATTAACCACATTTCCTTTCTATTTTTATTCGATGTGGGACAAAGAGCTTTATCCATAGGTCAAAACGCATGGTTTTTAATAACTTGCTTCCAACATTACTTTGCATAAAAGCATAAAATTGCATAATGATAGTGTAGTATGAAAATTTCTTTACATAAAATTTGAAATTTTCAAATTTCTTTCTTTGCATAAAAATTTCTTTGCATAAAAATTGCTAATGCATACTGCGACGCAATTGCTAATGCATACTGCGACGCAAAATTGAATAATCATAGAATGAAGGTATGGCCCCCATTTTTATGGAAAAAAACAAATAGAAGCAAAATAAAGTAAAGCATGGTTAACTATGGGCTTACGCAGCCTTATTTGTATAGAATTCTTAATAAAATTGACAAACTTAACTAATGGAAATACCGTTTAAGGTGTATTGCATTCCAAGGACGCGCAATGGGACGTCCGTCAGCTTCAGCCAAACGATATGCTCCCTTCCCCACTACTTCAGTAATCCTATAGGGTCCAGTCCAATTAGGTTCTAGTTTTTTTACATGAGCTGTCTCTTGCTTCAGAACCCAATCGCCTACCGCAAAGCTCCGGAATCTGACACGTTTGTTATAACTGTTGCGCAGCTACTGCTGATATGAAGTAAGCCTAATTGCTGCAGTATCCCTTTTTTTCATCGAGGAGGTCGAGACTATGTTCGAGCTACTGACTATTGTTTCCTTCAAGCAACAAGGATGTCCGAAGGGTTGGAATCGCCGCTTCGGTTGGAATCACTGCTTCGGAGCCATAAGCCATGGCAAAGGGACTTTCCCCCATGGGCCGCCGTGGTGTGGTTCGCTACGCCCAAAGCACCTGAGGGAAATTCTCGTACCATTTCGTTTTGAGTTTCTCCAATTTCCTCTTTAAACAACTAAAAATGGTCCGATTAGTTATTTCAGCTTGTCCATTCCCTTGTGGATGACTAACTGCAGCTAACTTTTGTATAATTCCATGCTCAGCAAAGAATTTTCTTGTACTTCTATTGTCGAGGTTCTTACCATTGTCAATCATAATGACTTTTGAGACCCCAAACCGGTAAATGATGTTGTTCCAAAGGAAACTTTTTACCTGCTCGTGGGTCACACTTGAGTAGGCCTCGGCTTCTACCCATTTAGTGAAATAATCTGTAGCCAATAGCACGTACTCCTTTTGTTCCACAGTCTTGGGTAACGGGCCCACCATATCAATCCCCCATTGTGCGAATGGCCATGGATTTGCCATTGCGTGCAAATCTTCGGCAAGTTGATGCTTCATGGGACCGTGACGTTGACATTTGTCACACCTCCGAGTATATTCTTCTGCATTCCGGGCCAAGTACGGCCAGAAGTAACCTTAATTCAGGACTTTATGCGCGACGGATCTACCCCAGAATGGTTACCACAATCTCCGTCATGGATTTGTTTCAACACCACAAGAGCCTCAGTAGGGCTTAAACATTTCAGGTAAGGACCTGAAAATGACTTTCGGTATAACTGATTGTTAATGATGGCATATTTAGCTACGGTGAGATGGAGCTTCCGTGCTTTGGCCTTCTGGTCTGGAAGAACTCCATGCTTGAGGTAGGCTTCCAATAGATCAATCCAGCATGGTTCTCGAGGAATAACTGGAATCACCATTACTTCCTGCGGAGGATTAATGTTGGGCTCATCCAAGACGTCAATCGACACAATCCGAGTTAGATCTTCATTTGAGGATGACGCTGATGTGACCAATTGATCTGCTTCGGCATTCTCAACACGAGGTACCTGATAGAATTCGATCTGATCGAATCCCCGTGCAACGTTCTCTACAGCTTCTTTATATGCTTTCATTCTTTCCTCTTTGGGATGGTACTGACCTGTCACTTGATTTATAACAAGCTGTGAGTCACTAAAAACCTTTAAGCAACGTACCTGGAGGCTGCTAGCCAATCGAAGACCAGCAAGTAATGCCTCGTACTCGGCCTCATTGTTCGTAGCCGGGAACTTCAAACAGATAGATTGCTGCAGCTTGGTGCCTTCGGGTGTTGACATTACAACGCCTACCCCTGCACTTGCTTGATTCGAGGAGCCATCGACTCGAAGTTCCCACTGTGGTTCAGGGTGTGCCGGCTCTTCGGGAGTATCTTCATACTCGAGAAGAAAGTTTGTTACGACTTGTCCTTTGTGCGACACCCTTGGCTCATAAGTTATGTCGAAGGAACTAAGCTCAATAGTCCACTTGGTAATTCTCCCAGATAAATCGAGCTTAAAGAGTATAACCCGTATAGGATAGTTGGTGAGTACCACAATGCTATGAGATTCAAAATAATGCCGAAGCTTCCTTTTGGCATAGATCAAGGCTAAGATGACTTTTTCTGCTTTACTATATCGTGTCTCCGCATCTGTCATGGTCTTACTTGTGTAGAAGACTGGATATTACCTCTTTCCTTCCTTTCTAATTAATGCTGCACTTGTCGCTATATTAGAAATTGCCAAATACATAATAAGAACCTCCCCGGGTTTTGGAGCGGATAGAATTGGTGGTTCGGCCATGTAACTTTTCAACCGACTGAAGGCATCCTGCTGCTGAGGTCCCCATATATCTTTATTCTTATATCGTATAGCATCGAAGAATAGTTTACACTTATCTGACAATCGAGATATAAACCAGCTGAGGGCTGCGATCCGACCAGTAAGAACCTGCACCTCCCTGCGATTTTTTAGTTCCTGATTTTGGATGAAAGCCTTAGCGTGAGCCGGACTTACCTCTATCCCTCTTTTATTCACTATGTGGCCGAGGAATTGACCTGATGATACCGCGAAGGAGCACTTGGATGGAATCAGCTTCATGTTGTACTTCTTCAAGGTATTGAAAACTTCCTGTAGATGCTTCAAATGATCTTCTTTCTTCACACTTTTAACCACCATGTCATCTATATATGCTTCAACTATCTTTCCCAGCAGATTATCGAATATCTTGTTGACAAGGCGTTGATAAGTAGCTCCAGCATTCTTCAGTCTGAAGGGCATGACCCTGTAACAATAAGTCCCCTTTTCTGTAATAAAAGCCGTTTTTTCATCTTCGGGGTTCATAGGAATTTGATTGTATCCCGAATATGCTTCTAGGAATGTCAGCCTCTCGTAGCCAGTGGTAGCATCAACCATCTGGTCTATCTTGGGCAGAGGGAAGCTATCTTTAGGGCAAGCTTTGTTGAGGTTGGTATAGTCTACACAAACCCTCCATTTTTCATTCTTCTTTTGTACGACTACCACGTTCGACAACTACTGTGGATATTGCACTTCTCGAATGAAACCTGCTTGCAACAATTTGCTCACTTTTTCAGCTATAATGTGATTGCGTTCAGGGGCAAACCTTCGGTGTTTCTGCTTAACCGGTTTGAACTCTGGATCCATCTTCAGACTATGGTAGGAAACTAAGGGATCGATCCCTACCATGTCTGAGTGATCCCACGCAAAGGCATCTGCATTGCTCCGGATAACATCAATTAATGCCTCATTTTCTTCGGACGTGGAAGAAGAGCCTAGATAAGTAACTTTCTGAGGGTCGCCTAGGATAACTTCCACGGCTTCGAGGGTCTCCTCGGTGGGCTTTGCAATTTCCTCTTCCTCTTTTACCTTAAGATACTTAGACAGAGGGCTTTGTAATTGCTATTTGGGTCCAGTTTTGGAAACCACACCTGGTTGCTGTTGAGTTGACACCCTCTTCGCCTCAACTTGTGTCAACATATAGCATTCATTCGCTACGACTTGATCGCCCTACAGATTAATTACTTCTTTCTCGTCCGAAGATAAGCACCGCATCACCTGGTAAAGGGTGGACGGAACTCCTCTCATCCGATGTATCCAGCCTCTTCCCATGATGAGATTGTAAGAATGATGGATCTCTGTTAAAACAAAGTTCTCCTTCAGAGTCCTCTTCGCCACGGTTACGGACAAGTCTATTACTCCAAGGGGATCTACTCTTGTGCCATCAAATCCCATCAACGGGCTGGAGGTAGGTCGAATAGATGATGACGGGATCTCTAACTGATCAAAGATCGTCTTTGTGATTATGATGGCGTTACTTCCTAGATCTACCAAAACCCTTATGATCATACAATTGGCCACTAAAAGAATGATGACCAATGGATCCTCGTGGGGGAGTTGCACTCTGGATAGGTCGCCATCTCCAAATCCAATACTGATGCTACCCGAATTGATAGCATTGACCAAGGATATCTTCCTGAGCTTGTGGGTCGCCCTCAGTCTGAATCTGTACACCTCCTTGAACTCTTGATCATCTTCAGACCTGCCATGTATTGCATTGATAACTTTTACTTGCGTACCTTCTACCTTGCGGGGATAGACCTCGCGGGGCTTTACATACTCCTTTGTCATGAGGTAATCCGTCAACTCACCTCTGGCGATCATATTCTCCACCTGTCGCCTAAGGGATCTGCAATCGTTGGTTGAATGCCCATAATCTCGATGATAAGCGCAATGCTTGCTTTTGTCCCTTTGCTCTAGGGGTTGCTTTATTGGCTGCGGAGTTGTGAACTTCGTCTTATTCTCTTGGAAGAGCCGAGCCAAGGTAGTTCGGAGAGGTGTAAATCCTTCCTCTACCCTTTACCTTTTTTCAGGTGCCTGGGTGATCGACGTTGAGGAACGTTGGCTTTTTTGAATCTTTGGAGTTGGAATTCTTTCTCGAGGCTTGTTTTCCACTGTCACGAGGGTGGCGTGCTGCGCTCGGTGGGCTATATTTTCCTCAAGCCAAATGTAGATCTGGGCCTTGGCATTTAGAGTCTGCATGTCGGGAGGAGAATACTTGACTAAGGAAGTGTGGAACTTCGTCCCCTGAATTATCGCGAGTTTAAATGTCTCTATAGCAGTTGCGGGATGACAATCCGCTATTTCTGAGGCCTCCGTGTTGAATCTTGACAAGAAATCCTGCAATGTATCCCCCCTTTTCTGCCTTACGGTGAAGAGGCTGGCAATGCTCTTCTTTTTCTTCTTATTTCCGCAATACTGTGCCAGGAACATGGTGCATAGAGTTACGTAATCCGGGATGGACTTATGCGGTCTATTCCTGAACCACTCTAGTGCTGCTCCTGTCAAACTGGTAGGAAAAACTCTACACATCTAAGGATCATTACGATCATCCAAAGCCATCTTTTGAGCGTAATGATCTAGGTGCCGAGAAGGATCCCCTGTTCCATCAAACTGGGTGAAAGAAAGCATGGTGAATTTCTTGGGCCTCTCAACCAGATACACATCGTCAGTGAAAGGAGTTTTGACCAAGGAATTTTTGTGTTCTCTAACCATCTCGGCAGGTGTCTGAATCTTCAGGAGTCTCTTCTCGTCAAAGGCATCCTGAACACCTGCACCATCTGAGATTCCATTAGACCACACCGTAAGCTTATGGCTGGATTCGACTTGCTCATCCTGCGTGCGACGAGAGATGTTATCTGAAGCCGCAGCCTCGGATCTTACCTTCCGTTGTTGCTGAACCTCATTTGGCTGAGCCTCATTGGGTCGTGCCCCATTAGGTGGAATCCCATCAGGCGGAAGTCCAGTAATCGGAAGAATATTCTGACTAGGGGGTGCTGCTGTGTCACCCACTGGTGGCGGTGGTGCCTACTGAGCCAGCGTCGTTTGCAGAGTGTTATTCTGCTGTTGAAGCAAGGCGATCTGAGCTACGCTTGCTTCGTTTGCCTGACGAAGTACGTCAAACTGGTGTAGAAACTCTTCACGCATCTTTTGCATCAACTCCGTCTGTTGATCTGCTGAAGATCCTCCGTTCGACATTCTGGATGGTAGCTGCAGGATTCACTTGTGAAACAAAAACAAGAGTGGGAATATATTTGCACACGTTTCCCACAGACGGCGCCAAAGTGTAAGTGCAAAATTTCGCTCAACCAATAATGATTGAGAAAAATAAAACAACTCACTCAATAAACAATAAAAATAAACAAGAACAGTGTATAGAGAGGCGTAGAATTGCTTGATCCCTTTATTGGAGGTCTAGGCCTCTATTTATATACAAAAGTTAGAAGAATTATGGTAGGACTCGCGTTGCTTGTCCTCTAATTCTTTCCATATATCGATTTCTTTACAAATAGAATTCTTTCCTCTTTATAATTCTTCCCTTACTAGATTTTCCTTACACAGAACTTGCTTCCTTTAGTGAATCCTTTTCCTTGCAGGAACGGCTCCTTCTTTAAATGGATTTGGGCCGCATTTAACTTGGTCTACATGACTGCTGGCGTCTTGATTCGGGCTTTAGTAAAGCTGGTAGTTAGATAACAGTAGGTTTGGGCTAATGACCAACTCAACTTGAGCTTTTAATGAGATGGGCTTTGAACTTTATCGAAGATCAAGTTATATTTATGATGACATGGACTGCTCTTATTGGAGGGAGATTTTTCCCTACACACTGCATATCAACCTTCTGCACTATATCAGCGAATTCAAAATAAGCAGGTAGCTTCTGAAGAATTCTTTGACCAGGGGCAATCAGCCACATATATAATTAACCAAAAAATTATCAGCTACCCTCTACCGGCAGGTGGTAAATGAGCCGCCCGCAGCTGATTATCCACATGTGGTACTCGGAGGCCTCTTCGTATTCATATTCGTGATATGGGCATGTTATGTGCGAAGGGTTTCTTGCGCTGAGGAACTCTCTTTGCCACACAGGAGTCACAGAAGGTGCATTTGGTGCACCCAGTGCAAACTCGGTGATTGTGCTGAAAAATTTGACAAAACCAACTACATCACACATTGTGCGGTTTAGGCGCAGTGCCCAGACGAATCCACCACAAAGAAAACGAGTCATGCACCTGTACGCATTTGAGAGAAATTTTATTCTTAATTCGGTTTATTAGCTTGCAAAATGTTGTCATAAGGGAAATGCAAGGAGGTAGTCATGTACGTTTCCTTTTTGGTACATGTATTGTACGTGGTTCAAACACAACTCAATTAATATATTTAGGATTGTCTTTGATTTAGAAAGTACTTTTAACTCGTGAATATAAGAAAAAATATCTTAGAGGATCCAAATCCAACTCTAACTTCACATTTGGGAGGCTGGAAGTTCAAAACTCAACTCTCTGGAATATCACTTAAGCGTAATCCTTGAGAAGAAAATTAATGAAACTTGACCAACTATCTACAAAATTTACATGGTGCTAAAAATAAGAAGAGTCTACAATAAATTTTCATGGTTGCTATCATGAAAATAAAAATAAAAAATACTGCAGAATAGTGACTTCTTTTTATAGAAGTGTACGTTTTTGTTGCTTCTATTACATGTCTAAAAATTACGAAACCATGAACTTGCAAGCTACACTTTTCAAAATACAGAATCGTGAATTTCCGTTTTCATTATGAATTAATTAAGGCAGCAAGTTAAGGCCACTACAAATTGTGAATAACACAACACACCTGAAAAACCAATGATTCCATCAGAGGCAGGGACATTAGTTGGTCCAAGTAAGGAGAGGGTGGGTGAAGCATGTGGTGGTGGCCGGAGCCCAACATTTGCATCAGCCTCTATGAAGACGACTCCTTGGCCAATGCAATCCACCATAAGTTTTCAGTTGGAGGCTTCAAATTAAAAGCCTACCTGCAAATGGGTAGTAAAAAACCAGTGTCTTAGCCAGTGCTTCTCTGATCACTCTCGCAGGATCTCTTCCTTCCATGGAAGGACTTCTCTTGTAGAACATTATCAATGGAAGTTGAAAACTAGCGAAAGCCTTCCTGGTCATCTATGTCTGAGAGCTGCTTTATTTCATGCATGTACCTAGACACTGCAGGCAATACAAGTTGAGGCTCATGCCTCATCACTGTCAAGACTATAGAGGATGGACATGCCAATTCTAAGGAAATATGTTCGTGTTTGAAGAAATGATGGAAAACAAAGGAGCTAGATTGACTGTAGAGTCGAATGGCTTTTTTTTTTATTATTTATTTTTTTATGTGAATATGTCAGTTGGCGGGAGAGCTATATAGAGCTCATCCATGCTTATATAACAAAGAGTAATGCTTGGATCCTGTCCTATCAGTGTAAGTACGTTTTGTCCTCCTCCCTGACTTGCCTATATGAAAACTTGACACCTATTTCAATATTGTATAATATTAAAAAAGAAAAGCATTTGGATCAACCCGTTACAAACGGGTTTTTTTGCTAAAGATTTGGTGCGAACTCCACGGTTCCGACGGGATATCGCCACCTACATCCTCACAATCATTGGTTGTAGAGGGCAGTGAAGGTGGGGTGTTGCTGAGATCGAGGTTGGAGACAAGGGTGAACTAGACAAGGATGTAGGCGGCTGAGAGCTCAGCGGTGAGCTTGCTGTTGGAGGGTTCGGCTTCGGATGATGGCGGCCGTGATGTGGAGAGCTCAGCTGTGAATAATCTAACTGGCGGTGGTGATGGCAGACCGGCGAGGATGAAGACGGTAGTGGGCTTGCGGCGGTGCTTGGCGAGATTGAACGGTAGTGGGTTTTCGACGCAACGCCGAAGGCAAGGAGAAACTCGGCTGTGGATGAACTGCGGTTGACTTGCGGCAAGGTGTGCTGAACTTGGCCGGAGGATTCGGAACGGTGACAGGCGAATATGACTGGGCTAGTTCCGCGAAGATGAAAGGACTGAAGGAGAGAATTTCCAAATAATAATAAATAAATAAAAAAAGGACCGAAGAAGAGAGAGAATGTGAATGGTTTTCTATGGATTCTACCATTAACCCAAATTTTATCCAGATGATTCAATTTTTTTTTTTTTTGGATGAGTGTCAAGTTTTTATAGGACCACGTCAGGATGATGGAGAGGTTCCAAGCATTGCTCCATAACAAATGTCATGTCATTTGATTTGTCAAAGCTAATAAAACTTGCACATTTTTTACACCTTTGCTTGCTTTCGGGATTGATTGGACCGGACGATGTACCGGTCCACATATACTGTAACTTGGAATCTTTAATAATTCAATCTGGGCCATGCTCTTTATGTAATTATCCGCATACTTACTGAAATCCAATCCCATTATTAGAATGATGTAAAGTTATTATTCAGAGGTGGAAGGGTTCATACCAGTTTATTCAAAACACACACGTTTTTTCTTTTTTTCTTTTGTTCTTTTTTTTTTTTATTCAACAAAAATGAACTGTTTTCTGTTTTTTGGAAAGGTAACAAAAATGAACTTTTTTTATTGTTTTAATTACAACACGTAAGTGTGCATATAATTACAATGACAAAGTCATAAATTTATTACAGTTCAGAGCAGAATATCTCTATACAATAAGGTATTAACTAAAAAAACTATTTACAAACTCAATTATGACAATTCAATAAGATGGTGTCTGAGAAGTAACACTCTAATTAATTAAAATGGTTAAAATGTTGAGGGTACATTAGGAACCGGCCATATCTTGGGGGATCTTCTCTCTTATTTCGTATGGCGGTTAGAAGGACGCGTCTCCAGAAACAAATACACACTACTTTAGCATAGACTAAAAGGAATTCAATGTTTTCTTTCTTTTATGGGATTGAATTTTTATTTGTGGTCCACTTGGGGGACCAGTACTAGGAATATAGACTGCCAATATAACGAATGAATATATAAGCTTGAAATGCAAGCTTTATGTCGGTCGTTTTATATATAATTTTAAAATATGTAATGGGTGAATTGCAATAAGCTACTCTTTAATTTTTATTTTTTTAAAAAAATCCTCCAACTAACTAAAAGAGTTACTTTTTGATTTATTGTCAAAAACACTCCTACCAAATCAATGAAAATTTTATGTAATTTTCTGAATTATATATAATTGATCGAATTTTATTAAACTATCTTGGCTTGGTGGGGGTATTTTAATAAAATTAACCTCCTCGATTAGTTACAAGGGTCTTATTGGCAAACAAAAAACAGGATTAAAAGAAAAATAATAGAAACAAAATTTTGTTTACGACAAAACGTTACAAGCCTGCAGGTGGAATATATTGCAGCCTTAAAGGCGCGAAAGGAAGCCTATTGGTTTGATCTCATTGATTTAGAAGTTGTGGAGTATACTAGCCTGCCTATTGAGCTATGTTGTGACAATAGTGCAGAAGTAGTCCAAACCAATGACCCAAGGTTCCATAGAGGAACAAGATACACTGAGAGGAAGTATCATGTTCTACATGATATTGTCCGGCAAGAAAATATACTTGTAACTAGAACATTGCATTGGAACACAACTTTATTGATTCATTATTAAAGGTGTCATTGATCAATAATTTTGATCATCATCTAGATAACATTGGAGTTAGGTGCAATTTGAATTGGTTATGAGGGCAAGTGGGAGCTGTTGGAATTTATATGCCCTAGTATAGCAAATTCCTATTTAAATTAAAGTGATATATGTTCCTGACGTTTCTGAAATATTTATGTTTTATACAATTGGTGAATTCAATGTATTATATTTCGATTTATTATAGAATTGATAGTGTCCATTTGATTACAAGAGATATTTATATATATGTATGTGATGGCAATCAATGCATAATATATAAATAGTAATCATAAATGGTTCATAGTCGGTAATTATGGATGGACTCATAATTAATTAAGATTTGAACTGGATCCGCGTTAGGTTGAGATATATTGCGAGAGTCGTCGTATGTAATTGCTCCCTATCACCGTCATAACATTTAACTCTTAAGTATGAGAAAATTATAGACTCTTTTATTAATTAATAATTACTTTGATTTATTCGGCGGATTCTTCGGGATACTTAGACCGGCACTTTGAGTAGTTATATAATTAATAGTTAGAGGGTTATATTTTCAATATTTGCATCATTGCTACTTGTATTTATTTTATATTGATTATGGTTGATCACAAAGTAAATTCGAATGCCTTTGTGTGTTTTTAGACAAAATGATTTATTATATATTTATTTATTTAAATTATTATTTTTGTCAAACGAATGTTTTATTGTGATCGTGCCAGAAATAATCAAAGGTACCAAAATAAATATATTAACTAAGTAGTCGGATTGATGGCTTTATTTATCCGATAACTAATTGTGATACCCCTCGATTCTAGAACCACGGGTGATCAAGTCCGGGCACAGATCCGAAGGATACCAGACAATCAATATATAAATAAGCAGGAATAAAACTGAATTAAGAATAAAATAATTATACGCTGAAAAGAATTCTAATTGTAAAACCTCCAAAATAAAAGTTTTAATATAAATAAATTTCCAATCCGTACAACTCAGGAATCCATCTAGTGGACCCCTAATATTTCCAACTGGTAAAACATTTACAAAATTAAAATACAAAACCAAAATAAGAAAGAAAATCCTATGTAGTCGGAAGAGTGAGTGACTGTATCTGCATCACCACGATCAAACCCTAAGCCTGGTACTCACGAACACCTGAAAAATAAAGCTGGGTCAGGCCCACATGCAAGTTCCATCCTACTACAATCCGTACATAAACCCGATACGCAGATACATCCTAGATAGCTCGGCAATATCTACAATAGTCCATAGATATATAAATACACACTATAGGATGCTCACTAGCCTATAACATAGTTCAGCCTGGGTAGAAGGTGACATATAAAACACGCTTTTCAGCGGCCAAGTACCTAGACCTACCAGGGAACATTAGCTATATCTAGCTACTCAACCTTTGCAATATACGCACCCTAACCGTGATCAGGAGACTCAAGCTCGTATCACGGTACCATAAAAATATATATAAATTCTTTCCTAATGCAGAAAAATAAAACAAACATCCGTTATGTCGTTCAACTGTTTTAGTTGACAGGACATGCATCCATGTAGGATTTAACTATTTTAGTTAATCCATTCCGTATGTATGAAAGGGGTAGGACTTAGCTTTTTGATCTAATCCATCCCTGATATGTCACCGTCCCATACCGGTACATATAATGCATATGATCCACACATGATGCACACTCAAAATGAACATCAAGTATATCCAGAACCAACATAATAGAAATCAGATATAAATAAGCTCCTATCATGCATCCAGTGTATGATTATATTCATAGATCCTCCTTTTAAATTGTTAAAATAAGAATAAACAATTTAAACCATCCATTTCCATGTAATTGATAGAACAGAAAATTAAGACAGTTCAGCAATTATCCTTCATAACATAATATAATGAATATCAGAATTTTAAACTGCACATTATACTAGAATTCCAAAACAACACATCCATATTAGTTCGTTTAAGATGTTAAAATGATGACTAGCATTTAAATCCTCCCATCCTTTACGGCATGCAAATGTATAATTAAAACTCATGGCATCTATGTAATTCCCCATTATAAATTCTGTGTCGGATATAATGACACTCCAAAGTTTAAATACATCATATGAAACTTCAAAAAGTATTTTATATGAGTTCCATTTAATTTGCTAACACAAAACTAGCAACTAATCTTCCACTATTCCCGACAATATGCAGCTTATTAGATAAGGGTACATGACGTCATAACCAACATTCCTGGAACTGAGCTACGCTAAATATATCATTGATATAAATTCTGACAGTAATTACAATGTCAATCCAAATTAAGTTGTCAAAACAACTTAACAAACCAAGCAATCCTCCTTCCTTGACAGTAGGCCTATTATACGCTTATGTTTTATGACATGCATTTAGGTTTAGCACCTTAGCATAAACCAACTATTTGAAGGCTTTAACAAGTTAATTTTAATCATTTAAAACCCCCCATCACTTTTCGGTAATTACCTTTAAGCCCCTGAACTTCAGAAAAATTACAGAAAACACCCGTAGGGGTTTTTTTCCCATGAGAGCCGGCTCTCCTTTATTGGAGCCGGCTCCTAGGCTTCTAGAGCTGGCTCTCCCTCATGGAGAGCCGGCTCTCTCTTCATGGGAGCCGGCTCCCACCATTTAGGAGCCGGCTCTCACCCCTGAGAGCCCCTCTCTGCTTCACTGCTTCGTCTTTGCTTCCGGCAGAAGTTCCAACTATCTGTCCTAAGTTTCTTAAGGATTTTAATAGTTCAATTTAAGCCCTAATACTCCTAGAAACTCCTTTGATTTCCCTAAGAATAGTTTGGCAAAAATCTAATTTGAAGACAAAAACAGTTTATGCAACCAACCAATTCAGTTCTTCTTCGCTTCCGGCGAAGTCCAGTGTCATATCCCAAACTTTTGTAGCATTCTTTGGATACTATTTAAGTTCTTATAGTCCTAGAACCTCTCATACTCCAGTGTAAATCAAACGACAGAAATTAAACTCACAACAGAATAGTTTAAGCAACAACGGGTTTAAACTTTAAAAACACAGAACAGATTTCAGAAATCATCTAGCAATGCATAAAATCCGTTGTTAATAGTTAAATTAAGTTCCTGGAGTCTATATAAGATGCACTAAACACAAGTTTATGGGGAAAGAGATAGTCTGAAACTTACCTTTAGGTTTCGGTTCGAAACCTTTCAACGCCGTTGCTAAATTCTCCAAGACTGTTCCCTCCTCTCATCACTGTTCTCTACCCTTGTTATGTCTTGGTTCAACCCACGCACAATCCCCTTAATTCACCTCTCAAGACCCTCACTGTGTATCTCTCTTCACATTCCAGAGCATCTGTTTTTTTCCTTTTCAAGATATTAAAAGAATAGGGTTGCAGACATAAAAGAATATATATATATATATATATATATATATATATATATATATATATATATATATTGCCGTCCCCAATCCTAAGTTTGCTTATAACTTTATATATATATAGCCTTCTATGAAGCCCTAATCCTAGATCCAGCCTAATGATATGTCGGCTATTATATGAAATAAAACCCTAACCCTAAACTATAAATACAACACACATAATTTTATAAGCTACCCAAAATTAAATTAAAACAATAATCAAATATTTAAATTAACCAAAAATTAAATTAAAACAATTACAATCAATTTAAACAGACACAATTACCAATTAAGCAAATAAAACAATTAAGCTAAACAAATAACAAATAAGTCCAATTATTAAATAAAAAAAAATGAAACACAAATAAAAATTAAAAATTAAATTCCCATTCCCATTTTATCCTTTTGAAAATTAGGGGTATTACACTAATTATGCATATAGGGGTCAAAGTGCAATATTGACTTAGAGGTTATTTATTATTTAATTGGAGTTCAATTAATTTCTTTTAGTGGAGTAGAAATTAATTTATGAATTAATTGAATTGGGTCCATGAACCGGGCCAATTATTAATTCATTGTAGCCAGTAAAATAATAGGCCCAATGGATTCTCACTCATAGCCCAACTTGATATTGGAATCATATTAGATTTGAGACATGTGAATTAGAGATTGAGAAGAATTTGTTGTTTCCTTTTCTTTATCTTTATGTTGCCTATAAATATACGTGGTCTATGTATATTTTAGGTGTGATTTTTGGAAGAAGGAAATAAGAACTTATTTTCTCTCTCTAGAAAATTAGGGTTTATGTTCTCATCTAATGGAGACTCCCACAAACCTAATTTTCCAATGTCATCCAAGGTCATTCATGGAGGCATATGAGTGATTCCTAAAGGCAAAACAATTACCAAGAAGATGGAGATCCAAGTATAAGGCGTCTTGCTAAGGAATCTACAATAAGTGAGAACATTCACTTTAGAGGAAAGAATTAAAGGTTTACTCAGACCTTTGATGTAAGTATTCAATCTATTAATTGAATGATACATCATATTTTATTTTTGTATATAACTTGTCTCTATGTAATGAATCAAGATCTATATATTAAGATCCCTCGAAAAGTTTTTAAAACTTGCACGTTTCCCAACAGTTGTTTCCTGAGGGCTATTAATTCTTCATGTCCGAAAAAGAAAGACCTCTGGATCAAGTTGTTGTTGTCCATGGCCATTGATGTGTCTCTTACCTCTTCGAATTCGTGATGTGGGCATGTTATGCGCGGGGGGTTTCTTGCGTTGAACACTACCCTTTCCCACACAGGAGTCACAGAAGGTGCATTTGGTTCACCTTGTGCAAACTCACCAATTGTGCTGAGAAATTGGAACAAACCAGCTGCATCACACATTGTGTGGTTTAGGCGCAGTGCCAACACAAATCCACCACAAACAAAACGAGTCACCTGCGCATGCACCCATTGATTATTTGAGAGAGATTAATTTAATTTAATGCTCCTGTGTAATACTAGTATGAGTTTGCAAATGAACCAACACAAGTCCAATATGATATATATATATATATATATATATATATATATATATATATATATATATATAGTAACAGAAGTTATGATGCAAGGTAGGTTGAACACACCTGAATCAACAACAAAGGGCAACCAATGATTCCATCAGAGCCAGGGACATTGAACAAAAGCTGGTCCAAGTAAGGAGATGGTGGCTGAAGCATGTGGTGGTGGAGCCCAACATTTGCATCAGCTTCTATGAAGAGGACTCCTTGTTGGGATTTATATGCCCTGGCATAGCAAATTCCTGTTTGGATTAAAGTGACATATGTTCCTGACGTTTATGAAATATTTATGTTTTATACAATTGGTGAATTCAATGTATTATATTTCGATTTATTATAGAATTGATAGTGTCCATTTGATTACAAGAGATATTTATATATATGTTTGTGATGGCAATCAATGCATGATATATAAATAGTAATCATAAATGGTTCATAATCGGTAATTATAGATGGACTCATAATTAATTAAGATTTGAACTGGATCCGCGTTAGGTTGAGATATATTGCGAGAGCCGTCGTATGCAATTGCTCCCTATCACCGTCATGGCATTTGACTCTTAAGTATGAGAAAATTATAGACTCTTTTATTAATTAATAATTACTTTGATTTATTCGGTGGATTTTTCGGGATCTTTAGACCAACACTTTTGGTAGTTATGTAATTAATAGTTAGAGGGTTATATTTTCAATATTTGCATCATCGCTACTTGTATTTATTTTGTATTGATTATGGTTGATCACAAAGTAAATTCGAAGGCCTTCGTGTATTTTTAGACAAAATGATTTATTATATATTTATTTATTTAAATTATTATTTTTGTCAAACAAATGTTTTATTGTGATCGAGTCAGAAATAATCAAAGGTACCAAAATAAATATATTAATTAAGTAGTCGGATTGATGGCTTTATTTATCCGATAACTAATTATGCATAGAGGGGTCAAAGTGCAATATTGACTTAGAGGTTATTTATTATTTAATTAGAGTTCAATTAATTTCTTTTAGTGGAGTAGAAATTAATTTATGAATTAATTGAATTGGGTCCATGGACCGGGCCAATTATTAATTCATTGTAGCCAATAAAATAATAGGCCCAATGGATTCTCACTCATAGCCCAACTCGATATTGGAATCATATTAGATTTGAGACATGTGAATTAGAGATTGAGAAGGATTAGTTGTTTCCTTTTCTTTACCTTTATGTTGCCTATAAATATACATGGTCTATGTATATTTTAGGTGTGATTTTAGTAGAAGAAAAAGGAATATATTTTCTCTCTCTAGAAAATTAGGGTTTATGTTCTCATCTAATGGAGGCTCCCACAAGACTAGTTTTCCAAGGTCATTCATGGAGGCATATGAGTGATTCCTAAAGGTAAAACAATTACCAAGAAGATGGAGATCCAAGGAGAATATATCTTGCTAAGGGATCTACAATAAGTGAGAACATTCACTTTAGAGGAGAGATCTAAGGTTTACTCAAACCTTGATGTAAGTATTCAATCTTTTAATTGAATGATACATCATGTTTAATTTTTGCATAAAACTTGTCTCTATGTAATGAATCAAGATTTATGAATTTAAATCCCTCGAAAAGTTTTTAAAACTAGCACGTTTCCCTACACTCCTTGGCCACTGCAATCCACCATAAGTTTTCGGTTGGAGGCTTCAAAAAGCCTACCAGCAAATGGGTAGAAAAAAACAAGTGTCTTAGCCAGTGCTTCTCTGACCACCCTCACAGGGTCCTTTCCCTCCATGGATGGATTTTTTTTGTAGAACATTATGACAGGGAGTTGAAAGCGAAGACCTTCCTGGTCATCTATGTCTGAGAGATGCTTTATTTCATTGGGTGTGGACTTTGCAGGCACTATAAGTTCTGGCTCATGCCTTTCCACTCTCAAGGGTACAATAGTGGATGGACATGCCATTTCTAAGGAAATGTTATGAAGAAAGTAAAAGAAAGGAGATTTAGTCAGTCGATGGTGTGTTTCTTTTATGTGAAAAATGAAATGGTATTTATAGGACGCGTCTGAGAATTGAGCATATTGTTTTGAGCACGAATATTGTTGGATCGTCGTCTCTCTCCTTTTCCAATGGTGATAAATAAATACACACTACTCTACTCTAGTACAGACCAAGGAATTCTATGTAATCTGGTCGGTAACACGTTTTAAGTTTGAACTATTTTTTTTGTTGTTGACCCAAGTCTCACCCACCCACACAATTTTTAAGTCAGTTAATTGGGACTTAAATCCTTAAACACGTAGAGGCATGATTCGACGTATTAGTAATATTTTGACCCGTTATTAGTAATTTTCATGCGTAAAAATTATACACCGTTATTTCGATATACAAACATTTTTATTACTTAGTGATATATTTTTTTTTTTTTTTGGGAAAGTCAAACAAGAATATATATAGAGTCAAAAGATAATTAGAAAGAGGGCACATCCAAATAGCTGGCATTAGAAAGAGGGCATTGTAAACACAGCCAAACAGTGGCGCGCGGCAGATACTAACCAAACAAAGCTTTCCCAACCATCCATTGATTACAACAGACCAAACATACAATATAGTGAATGGTCCGCTTTATATATAGAACAGGGTTTTACAAGTAATTCTTTTTTCTTTTCTTCTTGGTTGATATGTGTTTTCGGTTGGAGGCTTCAAATTAAAAGCCTACCAGCAAATGGGGTAGTAAAAAACAAGTTTGTCTTAGCCAGTGCTTCTCTGATCACCCTCGCAGGATCTCTTCCTTCCATGGAAGGAGTACTTCTCTTGTAGAACAATATTATCAATGGAAGTTGAAAGCGAAAGCCTTCCTGGCAATCTATGTCTGAGAGCTGCTTTATTTAATGGGGGTGTACGTGGACATTGCAGGCAATACAAGTTGAGGATCATGCCTCATCACTGTCAAGACTATAGAGGATGGACATGCCATTTCTAAGGAAATATGTTCGTGTCTGAAGAAATAAAGGAAAACAAAGCAGCTAGATTGACTGTAGAGTCTAATGGCTTTGTTTTTTTCTTTTTTAATGTGAATATGTCAGTTGGCGGGAGAGTTACATGGAGGGTTAAAGCATCCATGCTTATATAGACAAAAGTCATGTCATTCAATTTGTCAAAGGTAATAAAACTTGCACATTTTTCACACATTTATTTGCTTTCGGGATTGATTGGACCGGGGACGATGTACCACATATACTGTAACTTGGAATCTTTAATAATTCAATCTGGGGCTGGGGCCATGCTCTTTATGTAATTATCCGCGTACTAACTGAAAAGACTTGACTTTTCAACAAATATCATCCAAATCCCATTATTTCAATGATGTAAAATTATTATTCGGCTACTTTAAGGTGGAGGGTTCATAACAGTTTATTCAAAACACATTTTTTTTTTTTTCTTTTTCTTTTTTCTTCAACAAAAATTAACTTTTTTCGTATTTTGGCAAGGTAACAAAAATGAACTTTTACAACACGTTAGTGTGCATAAAATTACAATAACAGAGTCAGAAATTTATGACAGTTCAGAGCATAATATCTCTATACAATAAGGTATTAATTAAAAAACTATTTACAAACTTAATTATATATTGATTGACAATTCAATAAGATGGCCGGTGTCTGAGAAGTAACACTGCAATTAATTAAAAAGGTCGAAATCTTGAGGGTACATTTGGAATCGGCCATATCTTGGCGGTTAGAAGGACACGTCTCCAGAAACAAATACACACTACTTTAGCATAGACTAAGGAATTCAATGTTTCCTTTTATGGGGTTGAATTTTTATTTGTGGTCCACTTGGGGACCAGTACTAGGAATAGGGACTGCCACTTGGGACCATTATATATATATATAATGGGTGAATTGCGTTAAACTGCCTATAACTTGTAGCGTTTTAAAATATAATGGGTGAATTGCATTAAGCTACTTTTTAATTTTTATTTTTTTTAAAATATCCTCCAACTAACTATAGTTGACCGAATTGTATTAAACTATTTTGGCTTGGTAGGGGTATTTTAATAAAATTAGCCTCCTCGATTAGTTAGAAGGGCCTTTTTAGCCCAAAAAAAAAAAAAAAGATTAAAAGAAAAAAAATAAAATCAAAATTTTGTTTACTACAAAATGTTAAAAGTTAAGGAGAGTATAATAACTTTCATCCATATACAAAATGTTTTTATTTCGTGCTTTTGTTTTTACTCGAAGTAAAAGTAATGTTTCTGCTTTCAAATGTGTTCAACGTAAATTTGTAACAAAATTTTTAAAAACAAAAATATTAAAGTTTGTTTGGTAAAAAGTATTGCAAGTTTGAAATTTTGAATGACTAGTTAAAAATGTCATTTTAGAAAGAAAAAAATTCTTTTATTATGACTAATTAAATTATGTACACTAATAAAAACATGAAAAAAAAGCATCAGCAAAGAGGCCTTAAGTCTTCAATTATGTCATTATTAGTACAAAATTATGATATGAACATGTTGAGTTAACCACTGAACCACGTTTAAAATGAGGTAGGTCTGTAGGTGCATGAGAGTGCTATACCTTGACAAGGTGCATGTAACATTTCATTGTCCAATTTGACACCAAAGTGGTCGTGTTTAGAACATTAATATAGAGTATATATAACGAAATTAACATTACTATAAATTCCTTGCATTGAAGCTGAAATTTAGTATCACATCATAACAAACATTAAACTAGTTTTCTTTCAATAATTATATATGGATGAATGTCATAAAACTATCCATATAACTAATCAAGGAAGTTAATTTTATTAAAATATCCCCACCAAGCTAAGATAGTTTAATACAATTCGGTCAATTATATATAATTTAGGAAATTGTATAAAACTTCCCTTGATTTGGTAGGGGTGTTTTTTTATAATAAGTCAAAAAGTAACTCTTTTAGTTAGTTGGAGGATTTTTTTAAATCAACAAAATATATCTGCAAGTGTCTGTGCAACTACAATCAAACTGTCAGTAGAGAGACCAACCCCATATATATGCAAACCCTAATTCATAAAGAGTTGCTAGCAAAAAAACCTTGATCAGATGTGAAACTGAATTTCATCTCCAAAACATGGAATTTATACTGTCAAAAAACGCAACTTATAAGTAAATTCATATTAATAAATTAGATACTATTATTAATTTTGTTATCTATAATATTCTTTAAGCACCACAACTTTGGTATCAAACTCGACAGCTAGCGAGACGTTGATGCATCGGAGGAGGAGCGATCCTACAGAAAACAGTAAACGCGTGATTCTCATTGTTAAACATGTTACACATTGTTAAAGATAGAGTAGGATTCTCATGGGTCCCCATGTCCACATCATAAAAAAACCTTATCTTCAAGATATTATAATCATGTACAAACATCTTACATATTTTTTTTTTGGAGTTGCTTAAATTTTGAATTGTATTTTTTATAATTCCAATCGGTAATTATTAAACTATATATTTGATAATTAGTTTTTCATCTCATTAGAGTTGTACCTATAAAAAATAAATAAATAATAATATATTACCTCCGTCTCAATTTAAGTCTCTTATTTTAGAAAACACAATTTATAAAATGTGAATCACGATTTTCAAACTAAATACTTAATTTGAGACAGAAAAAATATATAATTTATGATGTGAACAAAATATCAGTGGCTCATGGAGAACGCAATTGACTCCACATAACACGAGTGTACCAATATTAGTAGTACCTCATGTTGATTTCCGTGTACGTACTAGGCAATGTCATATTCATGGAGGAAAAAACCAAAAACAAAAAGAACAGTCTACTCTCACTCATGAAGTGAATTCTCTAGGCTATGTTTGTTACGTGACATGAAAACAAACAAATAAATAAATAAATATGAAAGAAATGAGATGATAGTATTAATTACTTGTTGTATGTGTTTGATTGATTAATAAAAGAAATGATAATAATCATATTTGAAGAAAGAAAATAAAAGAAACTAATGTAACGAATTTACAATCATACGGCCATACCCTTTTACATAGAGTTTTTCTTTCTTAAATATAACGATAAATTTAGTATTAACAAAATTTTATTAAAAATATTAATTTTCTTTCCCTTTCCTTATTTTTCTTCTCATTTTTTTTAAGAATAACAAAAGTTAGTATTAATGCATAACTCTATCCCTCCAAATTCTTTCTTTTCCTTCCCTTTCCTATCCAACCAACATTTCCTACCCAACACATTTTTTAATTTTCTTCCATTACCATTCATTTCCTTTCTACCACAGTGACCCTAATGCATTCCCATGCTAAAGTACCTAGCATAATTAAGTACGACTAATTCTTTCAAGCCTCTCCGAGATTTGGAACACCATCAACGAGTGCAACTAGCTTTTTGATACATTGATAATTTACAAAAAATCATACCAAACGTACCGCATTGATTTCTAATTTTTTTTGTTTTTTTCTTCTGGAAATTCAAAGGAAAATTATTTATATTTTCTTCCTTCATAAAATAAGGCCAATCTGAAATTTAAATCCCTACTTCACACGGTACACTTACACAAAGCATCATATTATAATTGTCATTCATTGTTGCTGATATTCTAGCAACCATATATTTTAGACGATCGCAATTAACTCAGAGCATGGATTGAATTTTAGTGGGCTTTATAACATATGAATCTTCCACACCTCCCAGCTGAGTCATTTTGTGAAGCTCATGCTGAAACCTCTCCATGACTGGTGGTGGCAAGCATATTGGTACCACAATCCCATCCTCTCCTTTAGAGTTTTTGAATGCAACATAAAAGCTAATCAAAGAAATGGCTCCGGCAACTCCGCCATATACCGGGTTTCCCCATCCAAAATCGATTTTATCAAACCCAGCTCGTGTTGTATCCGAAACGATATAGTTCCCAGCCACCGTATACAAGGGTCTTCCCTTGATCG